TCTATCTATCTATCTATCTATCTATCTATCTATCTATCTATCTATCTGGAAGGAGATATTCATGCCATGGTAAATTCACATGGTACATGTGAAGTTCAAAGGACAGCATCTCTCTCTCTCTCTCTCTCTCTCTCTCTATATATATATATATATATATCTTTTTTCCTTCTACCTTGTGGGTCCAAGGATCAAATTTAGTCTTGGCAGCAAGAACCTTTACTCACTGAGCCATTTTGTCTACCCTTCTGTTCTGTTTTGAGACAGGTCTCACTGTGTATACATGGCTGGACTGGGACTTCCTATATAGATCAGGCTAGCCTCAACTCAGAGAAATCCACCCACCTCTGCCTCCAGAGTGCTGGGATTAAAGGTGCATGCCACCATACCTGCTCCAATGGCTGCTTTTGAGTAGATATGTATTTATCGCACGGGACATTCTGGGTGGGATGGGGTGGAGATTGACTAGGGGCGGTTAGAGCTAAAATGGTCTGAGGAGAGGCTAGACCAGGAATCCTCAGATTTGCCTTTACTGTGGCACAGGTGAACAAGTCAAGTGTGTATAGGGTCTCTTACGATCGTGAGAATTTGCTTTTGGTAGAGCAATGGCCCTGAGCCACCCCCGGGCTTGGCAGGAGTGCGATTCCATCAGAAATTCCAGGCTCTTTCCTCTAGCACAGGAACATCTTGTATTCGGATCTGCAGGCAATACACTTGGCAATCTCTCATGATTGCACCTTCAGGGTCAGAGGTCGGAAAACTTGGAGGGAGAAGGCAGGCTGCCGGGAGGAGGAGATAGTCCCTGTGTGGGACATCTTAATGAAGGCCCACAAGTCAGGCCAGGGGGCTATGCCTGCAGTCCTAGCCATTGGAAATGCTGAGGTTAGAGGCTGACTTAAGCCTAGAAGTTCCAGCCAGCCTAGACAAGAGGATGATGCCTAGAAAAAAAGGAGAGAGAGAGAAAAAAGAAAGTTCCAGGAAATGCCAGTATGTCAGAGTTCAGTGCGTGGGTTTGTGTGGACTAGCTTGTGTCTCTTCAAAACTATTGTTTGTGTGTGCTTGGTTGTAGGTGGGTGTACCTGTGTGTACACATGTGGTGACCACAGGTCAACCCTGGGTGCTTTTCTTAGCCCTCTACTTCTAGAGGCAAGGTCTTTTGTTTTGTTTTGTTTTGTTTTGTTTTTCGAGACAGGGTTTCTCTGTAACTTTGGAACCTGTCCTGGAACTCACTTTGTAGACCAGGCTGGCCTCGAACTCACAGAGATCCTCCTGCCTCTGCCTCCAGAGTGCTGGGATTAAAGGTGTGCACCATCACTGCCTGGCTAGAGTTAAGGTCTTTTCTTCATCCTGGAGCTTACTGATTTGGTGAGGATAACTAACCAACAAGTCCCAGCAATCTTTCTTGCTCTGCCTCCCCAGTATTGGGATTCAAGGCATGAGCCATGAATTCTAGGTGTCTTAGTTAGGATTTTCTTTCTTTCTTTTTTTAATATTTATTTATTTATTATGTATACAATATTCTTGTCTGTGTGTCTGCCTGCAGGCCAGAAGAGGGCATCAGATCTCATTTCAGATGGTTGTGAGCCACCATGTGGTTGCTGGGAATTGAACTCAGGACCTTTGGAAGAGCAGGCAATGCTCTTAACCGCTGAGCCATCTCTCCAGCCCCCAGGATTTTATTTCTTTGAAGAGATATCATGACCACAGCAACTCTTATAAAGGAAAACATTATTTTAAATAATTTATTTTTATTTTATGTACAATTGTGTTTTGCCTGCATGTATGTCTGTGTGAGGGTGTCAGATCTTGGAATTACAGATTGTTGGGAGCTGCCATATGGGTGCTGGGAACTGAACCAGGGTCCTCTGGAAGAGTATCGAGTGCTCCCAACTACTGAGCTATCTCTCCAGCCCCATAAAAGGAAACATTTAATTGAGGCTGGCTTACAGTTTCAGAGGTTCAGTCCATCATGGCAGGGAACATGGCAGTGCGCAGGAAGACACGGTGCTGGAGAAGGAGCCGAGAGCTCTGCATCTTGATCCACAGGCAGCAGAAGGAGTCTGCGTCCACACTGGGCATAATTTGAGCATATAAGACCTCAAAGCCTGCCCCCTTACCCCAGTGACACACTTCCTCCAGCAAGGCCACACCTCCTAATAGTGCCACTCCCTGTGGGCCAAGCGTTCATACACATGAGTCACTGGGGGCCATTCCCATTCAAATCACCACACGAGGCATTAAAACGCACTACCCCTTGAGATTTGTATGCTGAAGCCTAGCCTGGTATCTTTGGAGAAATTTATAGGGCCAAATATATCATGATCAAATGGACTCACAGGGAAGGGTTCTAGTTGGCGGCTGCTGCTCTGAGATCAGAAAGATGCCAGACTTCTCTGTTCCGGGTGAGGACACAGTCAGAAGGCCGCTGGCTGCAGCCAGGAAGATGGCTTCCACCAGGAGCTCCATCAACTTGAACTGACCACGGCCTTCCAGGCCCTGGAACTGTGAGAAGATGATTTCCATTCTCTAACTCACAGTCTGTGGTTTTTGTTAAGACAACCGAGTAGACAAGACAGGAATGTGCAAAATCTCTGTTTTACCAACATTTTTGTCTGTTTCTTGAGACAAACTCATGCTATAGTTCAGACTGTTCTGGAGCTTTCTATGTAGCCCAGATTGGCCTTGAACTTATAAGAATCATTGTTCCTCAGACTCCTGAGTGCTGGAAATATTGGTGAGAGCCACCATGTGCATGCTGGGAATCGAACCCTAGTTCTCTGGAGGGGCACCCATGCTCTTTTTGTTTGCTTGTTTTGGTTTTGGTTTTGAAACACAGGGTTTCTCTGTGTAGCCTTAGTTGTCCAGGAACTCACTCTCTGTAGACCAGGCTGGCCTTGAACTGAGAGATCCTGCTGCCTCTGTCTCCCGAGTGCTGGGATTAAAAGCATGCACCACCACGCTTTGCATCCAGGGCTCTTAACCTCTGAGCCATCTTTCCAGCTCCCACCTGTTAGATTTCTTGCCTCAAAAGAAGAATAAGGTTCAGGTGCAGACCTTTATCAGACAACAGTAGCACTGGGTGATTTGATATTCCCATCCCACAATGAGGATTTGAGTCTTAGGAGCTCTCTGAGCCTGCATGTGCAACTCAACCTCACCGCTGGGTGGCGCTAATACAGCAAAAATCAGGAAGGCGGCCGGCAGAGAGAGGGCAACAAATGCTTTTTCATGGTTCGTTTTTTTTTTTGTAAGAATAAATCTTAACTATTTTGTTTGTTTGAGACAGGGTCTTTCTACGTAGCTCATGCACCACCGCCTCCAGCTGAATCTTAATTTCTATCGGAAAGTGCAAGCCCTTTGTGTGTCGGCGAGACAAACCGCTTGGGCTCATGTTCGGAGCCCCTGCTGTACCAGGATTCGGGAAGGGGGAGGCTGTTACCAGGTTGAACTTCTTTCTTTTTGGAAAATGGATATGAGAAACTGCTTCATCTGACATCAAACCCTGCCCTGTTGGGATTCAGCAGCAGGCAGAGACGCGGCGAGGTAGAGGAGGACACGGGAAGCACAGGGTGACAGTGGCCATTCGCGTCTTGCTCCTATCAAACATAACTTTTCCTTCAGCGGGTGCGTGGTAAAGGGGTCCTGTGAAGAGAATAGGGTGGGAAAGGATAAACGTTATGGCTTCTCTCACAACGGATGGCAAAGAGGGTGGCTTAGCAGCCGAAAGTCATTGTCCCTCCGTGCTGCAGGCTGGAAATAAAAACCATGATGCCAAGCAGGACTGGTTGTTCCCTTCCTTCCTTCCTTCCTTCCTTCCTTCCTTCCTTCCTTCCTTCCTTTCTTTCTTTCTTTCTTTCGATTTATTTATTATATATAAAACTTCTGCCTCCATGTATGCCAGAAGAGGGCACCAGATCTCATTACAGATGGCTGTGAGTCACTATGTGGTTGTTGGGAATTGGACTCAGGACCTCTGGAAGTGCAGCCAGCGCTCTTAACCTCTGAGCCATCTCTCCGGCCCCAAGCATTTTTTTTTTTCCCTGAAGGCTGCCAGGGACCGGTCTATCAGACCTCTTGCCTTGCTTTGTAAATGGCCATTTTGACTGTGACCCCTTTTGACTTCCTTTCTATGCATGTCTCTCTGCAACGATTTCCACCTTTTTATAAAGCACAAGTCATATTGGCTTAGAGCCTACCCTAACAACGTTAGTTTTAACTTGAGTGCCTCTGTAAAGGACCTATCTCCAGATGAGGTCACAATCTGAGGTGGTGGGGATTAGGACCCTACCATCTCTCTCCCTCTTTTTCTCTCTTCCATGCTCCCTTTATGGTGCTGGGATGAACCTAGGGCTCTGCACAGTGTGTCGGGCAAGTGCTCCGCTACTGTGCTCCCTAACACTGTTCTGAGATCTGAGACAGGGTCTTGCTAAATTATTCAGGCTGATCTTGAACTTTTGGTTATTGTCTCAGCCTCCTGAGTAGATGAATTACAAACCTATGTCATTAGGTCCAACCTTTCTTTTTCCTTTCTTCCTTCCTTCCTTCCTTCCTTCCTTTCTTTCTTTCTTTCTTTCTTTCTTCCTTTCTCTCCCTCCCCCGTTCTCTTTTTTCCTTTAAGATGAGGTTTCAATATATTGCTCAGGCTTGCTTCACAATCTTGTGTGTGTGTGTGTATGTACATGTGGAGGCCAGAGCTATTCATCAATTGCCCCCCCCTTTTTTTTCCCAAGACAGGGTTTCACTGTGTAGCCCAGGCTGTCCTAGATCTCATTTTGTAGACCAGGCTGGCCTGAAACTCACAGAGATCCACTCTTCTGCCTCCCAAGTTCTGGGATTAAAGGAATGCACTACCATTGCCCGGCCTCTATCTTTTTTTTTTTTTTTTTTTAACAGGGCAACAGCCTTCTTGGTGAACCTTACCAGTTGGTGTCTGGACTGGCTCAAGTGCGCTCCAGGAATCTGTCTCTGTACCTCACTTTTTGGGGGGGACAGGGTCTCACTACGTAGCCCTGGGTAGCCTGGAGCTCACTGAGAGCCTCCTGCCTCTGTTTCCGAGTACTGGGGTTAAAGGTGAGTGCCGCCGTGCTGGGCTTAGAAGTGTTCTATATTTCAGGTCTTATTTTTACTTTGGAATATCTGCACATAGACAGTGAAATACCTTGAGAATGGCACCCAAGTCTACGCAGGTTTTCTTGAAACAAACAAACAAACAAACAAAAAACAAACCCAAGCCCGTCAACTTTGTCATCTCCACTATTATTAATTTGCGTACCTTCATTTTGACCCTGACCTCTCACATGAGGAATTCCCCGCTTGTGGAGCCGTGTTGGTGCTCAGAGAATTCTGGCATTTGTCTCATTTCAGATTTTGAATTTTCTGGCTGGGGACACACTGCTTATGTGCTTTTTCCCTACAGCCCCTATAACAAATTGACACAAACCAGGCAGTTATTCACTTCTCAGTTTTGATCTTGGGATGAGGTCTAGGTAAGGGGGACTCTGCAGGTGGTCATGGCAGGCAGGGGAGCGAACCTTGAAGAATGGAGAATGAAAACTCGGTTCGAATTGACTCTGTCAACCCGGATCAAGACTTCAGGGGTCTGATCCCAGGCGATTCATTCCCAGCAAATTTAAATACAGTATAATTTGGGGGGGAAAAAGTTTCCTGGTGCACAAGGAAGTATTATTACATACTGGTGTGGGAGGTCCTTCTTCTGTGTGTTACTTTTATTGGTTAATGAGTAAAGAACTGCTTTGAGCCTATGGCAGGGAAGAACAGAACTAGGCTGGGAAAGCCAGGCTGTATGCTGGGAGGAAGAAGGGAGAAAGAGAAGTCATGGATCCACTACCAGGGATAGACGTGCTAAAACTTTGCTGGTAGGTCACGAGCTCATGGTGATGCACAGATTAATGGAAATGGGTTAAATTAAGATGTAAGAGTTAGCAAATAAGAAACGAGAGCTAATGGACCAAGCAGTGATTTAATTAATACAGTTTCTGTGTGATTATTTCGGGGCTAAGCTAACTGGACAGCCAGAAACTGGACAGCAGAAACCAACAAGCGACTTGCTTCTTCCAACATCAGAGCCCCACTCAGGCTACGTGTCATTTCTTTCAAGAAGATGGGTTCTAGAGCGAGGCTACTTATACTAGCTTAAGGGCCTAAGGAAGGGTCTGGCCTGGTCTCAATCATATAGAAAGCTAGAGGTCATTTGAACTGTTAGCCACTTCTGGGCCTGGTTGTAGGACCCGTAGGTTGATATGGCCTGGCCCAGCAGATAATGCAGATCACCAGGATGCCAATCATTTTCCAATTCCAGCTTTCTGGATGGAAGAGCAGGCTTTTTCATCTTTCCCATTGGAAAGACAATCCCAGTGCTTAACCTTCCTGGTTTCTCTGGAGATCTGTGGGCACATGGACCTTCGTGCTGTGCTCCCAACATCTAGGTACGTTGTCCAGTGTGTTCTTGAACTCACAGACTCAAAGACATCAGACACTCTAAATTTCTGCGATAATAGGCATGCACCGCTGTGCCCCGTGGGGTGCTTCAGCACAACAGCTCTGGGATCTGGAGGTCAAAGGTGAGCTTGACAGGATTCGTTCCCTCTAGGAGGATCTGAGGCCTGAAGCTCTGTTCTGCCTGCTGCTAGCTAAGGTCCACCAACTCTCCCTGCATTTCTTGACTTGCAGGAGCATCTCTTCATTTCCAACATCATGATGTGTGGTACGTGCCCCTCCTCCCCTTGTGGGCCACTAGTCACTCTCTGGTGTGACCTTACCTTCACTAACGATACCTACAATAATCCTATCTTCAATAATGTTCTGAGGTACTACTGGTTAGATTTTTGTTTCTTTTTGTTTCATTTTTTTTTGAACTTTTTCTTTTTAGAATGGTCTTAATGTGACCCAGGCTGGTTTGAACCAACTAGGTTGCTGTCTTAGGGTTTTATTGCTGTGGAGAGACACCATGACCATGGCAACTCTTATAATGAAAAACATTTTTTTATTCATCTATTTATTTTATTTCCTGGCCTCAGTCTCCCACATCCACCTCTTCAAGTCCCTCCCCCATCTCCCATGCTCTCCTCCCCCATTCACTCCTCTTCCATCTCCATCCAGGAGAGAGCAGGTCTTCCAAGAGTATCAATAAAACATGGCATATCAAGTTGCAGTAAGATTAAGCACCTCATGTATTAAGACTCAGCAAGACAACCTAGTATGAGCAGTAGGGTCCCAAAAGTCAATAAAAGAGTTGGAGACAACCCTGGTTCCCACTGTCAGGAGTCCCACAAAGAGGACCAAGCTACACCACTGTCACATACATGCAGAATGCCTATGTCAGCCTCATAGCCTACGCAGGCTCCCTGGTTGTCTGTCCAGGCTTTGTGAGCCCGTGAGCCCAGGGAAACTGGCCTGGTCTCCTGGGATCAGATTGGTGCCTTGCCCAACTGTCATCAGAAAGGTGCCATCCAGCCACTGATGGAGGCAGATGCAGAGACCCATAGCCAAACATTAAGCAGAGAGTTCGGAATTCTGCAGAGGACAAGAAAAAGAGTGTTGGAGTCAGAGGGGTCAAGGGAAGGCTCACACAATCAAAGGAAAGTATTTTATTAGGGCTGGCTTACAGTTTCAGAGGGTTAGTCCCTTATCATCATGGCAGAAAGCCAGGCAGCATGCAGGCAGATATGGAGCTGGAGATGGAGCTGAGAAGCCTACATCTTGAACCACGGGCAGCAGAAGGAAAAACTCTCACACTGGCTAGACTTGAGCTTCTGAGACCTCAAAGCCCACCTCCACAGTGACACTTCCTCCAACAAGGCCACGCCTCCTGATAATGCCTCTGTAAATGGGCCAAACATTCAAACACATGAGTCTCTGAGGCCATATCTATTGAAACCACCACAGTAGCTGAGGACGACCTTGACCTTTGAACCTCCCATCTCTCCCTTCTGTGTCCTGGGACCAGGCGTACACTGGCATGCCTGGATTTTCGAAGCACTGGGGACCAAAACTGTGCAAGTGCAACCACTCTGTTAGCTGACCTACACTTTCAGCTCCAGGAATTAGAATCAACATATCCTTTAGGTGGACACAAAGCCTAAGGCCCTAGAACGCTGCCAAAGCTCCCTTAGTGGCCAAATTCAATATTCATTCTCCAGACCTCCCCACAGTTAATGCATGTATGCCTGTTAGAGGGTGAGATGATCTCATCTTGTTTGCCTTCCCCTATTCCCAGCAAAGGGTATGTGGCAATGTGAGGCAGCCATGTAAACATTCGCAGGCCTGGAAGAAACTGGGGCCGACTCCTCCTTCATACTCAACAGTTTGGAAAAGCAAGGACTAAGACTGCAGGACTCTATTGACTGGTCAGAGGGATGAGAACTGAGTCCTCTGGCCCTGAGAGATGTGACAACGTGAACTGTCTGGAAGGCTATTAATAGACCTAGTTCTGGAAATCTTAAGTCTCATAAGGTCCCAGTCTAGCAGCAGGCTTTCTGACAAAGTCTAGCGCATGCAGCAGTGAACCCAAGATTCTGTCTCAAGACAGAAGGTGAAATCTTCTGCAAATCTTTGCAATCTTCAAGGCAAAGCAGAAATCGTTCTCTGATCTCCACTTATGTGTGCATGTGCCCATGTGCCTGCACGTACAGGTGAACACCACACACACAGATACACACAGACATAGACACACACAGAGATAGACAAACAGACACACAAGCATACAAATACACACATAGTCACTTTTTTCTTTTTCAAGACAGGGTTTCTCTGTGTATCCCTGGCTGTCCTGGAACCCACTCTGTAGACCAGGCTGGCTTCTAATTCATAGAGATCTGCTGGCCTCTTCCTCTAAAGTGATGGAATTAAAGGTGTGTACCACAACCACCTAACTTTTCTTTTTACTTTTCTTTCTTTTTTATTTTTTTTAAAGTAAATCCAAAGAGGCACCTGAACAGGACAAATTCACTCAGGAAAAATTACCTGTTCTAGAGACTTCAGAAACAGTGTAAGACCTGCCTAAAAAGTAGACAGTGAATGTTCCTTGGGATCACTGTTTACTCTCACGCCTTAGGAGTATGCTCTGCTCCACTTGACAATAAATACTTCATTCAGCAATGTGTCTTGTCTCTTTTCACAGAGCTCTCAAGAATGAAGAAGCAAAGAGGACTCCAAACCAAGGACCCAGGGCAGGAGCATCCCTAAAGGAAGATGCTGAATGACAAGTTTACTGCTTACTCTGATAGGGAAGAGCATAGAGAATCTGGTCAGTTTCAGGGACTTCCTGAAGCTATTTGTTTACCTTCCTGTTTAAGGAGATTCCTGAAGCTATTTTGAATTGCTTATGGCTTAAGGAGATTCCTGCAGGATGGGGTGTTTTCGGAAAGTTACACAACAGGAGGTCTGCGAGGTGGTTACATTCTAGAAGCTGTGGTCATGATGGCTAGTCTGGGCATGGTGAGTAAAAATTACTGAAAAGACCTGCACCTTCTGCTACACTGATTTACTGATTGGAACTTTGGTGATACAGAGAGGTTGGAATGTTGCAGACCAGAGCTAGGTTATTTTGTGGCATCTTTATGCCCTTGAACAACAACTGCCTGCCCTGTCTCTATCTGGCCTAACATCTTTGTAACCATCCCTTAAGTCACTTAGGACGCCTGAACAGACCCATAGTTTCCAGCCAGCCAAAAGGCCGATTGCCCTCAGACTAGCATTTTAGGCCTGCAGCTGAGATTTTTTTTTCCTCCCTCCTTTGCTGTAGCCTGTTTACCTGGAAGGATTTATACTTGAAAAGCGCCTTGATTTATGACTTTGTTCTGTTGCTATAAAACCTTCATCAAGAGGCTGGAGAGATGGCTCAACAGTTAGGAGTATTTACTGCCCAGACAGAGGACCAGGGCACAGTTCCCAGCATGTACATGGTGGCTTACAATTTTCTGGAACTCTAATTCTAGGGGCTCTGACCCTTCTCCGTTTCTGGGCTCTGAGGGCACCAGACACACAAGTGGTGCACAGATACACATGCAGGCATACATGCGTAAATCTTAAAAACAAAACAAAAACGAAGCAACACAACTTTGTCAAGCTGTTACCATATTGGAACATGGAATAACTTACACCTGTGTTATAGGGCTAAGGCCACTCATTATCCCTGATCCCCTCCTGCCCCTTTGAGGTGAGAGTTGTGTTTTTGTTTTTTGTTTGTTTGTTTGTTTGTTTGCGCAGCCGCTGCGCTGCACTCAGCAATGCTCACACCGACTCCGTGAGGCCGGTATTTGTAGATTTTAATTCCATGTTTTTTAGGCTTTGGAGAGATGAAGTTTCAATGCGGCCTCAATTACTATTTCTTTCAAAGTTCCCTGATCTGGTGAACTCAGCCCCACCCGGAGAAAACTCAGCCCGGATCAGCATCCCGAAGGTGTAGCTACAAGCGCGCGCCCCTAGCGCTCTGGTCAGGGTTGAGTCTACACAAAGCGGTTCCTCCCTAGGTTCCCGAGCGCGCAGGAGGAACTGCGCGGTAATTGGTTCGCGCGGCCGAAGCTCCGGCTTCGCCCCGCCCTAGTTCTCATTCTGGCATTTCTATTGGCCTAACGGCCGTGCGAGCAGAGCTAGCTGTTCCTTGGGCTCCGCCCCTCGAGCTCCGCCCCTTGGGCTTAGAACTTGCACCGGGTACCGGCGGCTGCTGAGGGAGCGTGACTGCTGGGCGCAGGGTTCTAGGACGCATTGTCGCCGTAAGTGCAGCCTCAAGCGGCCCACAGGCTTCGCGCCGCGCAGAGTAACGGTGGCCAGAGGCCGAGCGTGTCGGGCTGGGGAAGAAGGGAAAACAGGGTCCCAGGCTTGGCTGCGTCCTTTCCCCTCCCCCAGGACACCTGGTAGCACTGAGCCGCGGCTCGGGCCGTGTTCTGGGTCGTGGACTCGTCGGTCCGAGATCGCTCGGGGGAGTGGGCGGCTCGTGGTTAGCGCTCCTGGATAGCCCACTTCCGTTTCCCCAGGGAGACGCCCGGGCCCACGGGGAGAGGCAGCTGCGCATGTCGCTCCCGGAGTGTACCTCTCAGCCCCTGGCAGCGTGGGACGCCCCCGGGTTGTGATCTCCAGCGTGCCCTGCTCTGTTTGCTTTCTTTGCCCCAGGCCCCGCCTGCCAGGCCAGCTCGGGGCTGGAGACGAGCAGCCACTGGCAGCGATCGTGGGGTCCGGGGGAATCCTGTCTTTGGACACTGCGTACATTCATGGGCAGGTAGAGTCTGAGGATGCTCATGCGGGGCTGCCCAAACCCCAGACTCAGAAACCAGGCGCCGACACGTCCGGCTCAGTCTTCAACCTGCCTGCTTTTTCCCCTGGGTGGGAAAGTGGGTCACTTCTGTTCTGGTCTCCAGTGAACCTTTGGGACTGCTGGGGTGAGGATAAGCACTGTGCCCCTCACCTCCCCACATCAGCTCTTTGCCTTGGCAGGGTCCGGAAGGCTGGCTGGAGCCAGCGGTGGGGCAGCTCGTGCGCATGGCTCCAGAGGCTCCGGTTGCTCCGCAGAGCGGCTGCCAGGCTCTAAAGTTCCCGGTTGACCACAACAGTAACTAAATATAGGACCATCTGGTGCGGCCGGAGTGTCGCAGTGTTTTCTTTGTAGAGATCTTAGGGCTGCAGATAAGGTGGTAAAGTTCTGGCCCTTAAGGGCTGGGTCAGAGCTATAGTCAAGGTTTAAGTACCCAAGCTCCCATTTGGGGATCTGGCAGAGAAATCGCACAGAGCTCAAACTCCGAACTCCATCTAAGCAGAATACCATACACACCTTCAATTTATTATGTGAAGACTTCCAGTCGTCGTCTATCCTCGTTTGATCACCTATTGATTGGTCATGCCTTAATGTGGGAAACCCTTAATGGCTTGCAAAAAACGCTTCCCCAGAAGTGATTTATCATCAGTTAGTTTTTCTAACAGCTCCTTATGAGGAAGGTGATGTTTCCTTCTTACAACTGGGGCTGCCCCACAGCATTGAACACTTTGCAGAATTCTGCTTGGGTTAGTTGTGCCCCTCGGAGAACTGCCTTCTAGGAAGGCCTCCAGAGATCGGGAACAGACTATCGGCTTTCTCTGGCACGTCTTTGCCTCCCTGTTGCTGGCACCCAGTGATTCCACCCGTGGGGTCTTGCCCCAGGCCTCCATGCCCCCACCCCAGGCCATAACTGTACAGTACTGGTCTGTAACTGGATCATTCTGCATGCCAGTGGGAAGCTTGTTCATCAGCCATGTCCAGCCCGGGGCCTGGGGGCCCTGTTTGTCCCGGGGGAGCTGTGAATGCCCATGTAGATGACAATGCCATGTTGCGGTGTCAAAAGGTGGGGGCACCTCTAGTCCCTAGCCCGTCTTTGTCTTTTTATTGCCTGGTGTGGATTTTATAGATGGTGACTAGAAGAGTTCAAATTTAAGCACGTGCTGGGTTTGTGTTACAAACTCGGGGAAAGGGCAGAGGAGCAGCGGGAAGAGTTGATTCTCTGTCCAAGCACCTTGGGTTTTGGAGTGATTGCTTTGGTGATTTCGTCTTCCTCTTATGGTTTCCCTTTTCCTCCTTCCCTCCTCTCCGACCTTCCTTCTCTCCCTCCCTCCTTCTTTCCCTCTCTTCCTCTTTTCTTTTCTGCCTTCCTTTATTTTTTTGAGTCAGAGTTTTGCTCTGTAGCCCAGGCTGGCCTGAGACTCACAATCCTCCTGCTTCAGCTTTCCTCGTGCTGGGATTGTAGACATGTGTCACCATGGCCAGTTTCTTTGAAAGTTTCCGAGTCTCTCCCACACAGTGGCTGGGATGGGTGGCGCTGAAGCAGCCCAGGCGGCTATGGGCTCTAACTCCTGTCTTCCCCTGACTCTCTACTGCCACCACCACTACTATGCAGGGAGTTGACCAGATCTCTGCTTCCGGAAATCTACAACCTAGACCTGTGGGGCTGGCCTGGGTCCCGTGGTTTGTGCTGGTTCCAGAGAGATGCCTAGTGCCTTGATTGTTCAAATAATGCTGATTGTGCTGATTGCGAATGGACTCACAATTGTTTATATAGACTGGGGAGGGGGCAGCTCACAGCCCTGCCTCTTGTTTGTCTTGGACAGTTATCTGCTTCTCTGTAAAAACCTGCCTGTAAAACTGCTGGTCCTGTAGCCCTTCACTATCGGACCAGCTACGTGAGCTGGGAACTGGCGTGGAGACTTAAAATCATATACACACACAGACATAGACAGAGTGACAGAGACACTAGTCATCCTTGATACAACAATGCCAACTTTATTGAGCTCAGGGGCAACTTATATAGGGCTCTGGCCATTCCCCAGCTCTCAGGATCTTTCAGCTGCAGACCCATCAGAACCCACTCCCCTGCCATCAGGGTCTCGTGCTCACAGCAACTGCAGCCTGCTCAGAGCAGAGGAAAACAAGTTGTTGACAGGAAATTCAGGGTCTACCAGCTCCCAACACATCTCTTTTTAAAACATTGAAATGGAAAGGAAAACAAAAACCAGTTATGTGCTCCATCCCACGTCTCCTGCTCCCCACCAGTACTATTGAGATTAAACCCAGGACTAGGAGAAGGGTCTAAATTGCCCTTGAACTTGCTGTGTAGTCCAGGCAGGACTTGAACTTACGATTCTCCTCCTTCAGCCTACTGAGCAGCTGGGCTCACAAGACTAAGCCACCAGACCCAGCAAGGACGAATGTGTTTTTCTTGTCTTCCATTCCAGCCTTTCTCTTTGAGTTTCTATTAGATGCTAAATAAGTCCCTGTTTGTTCCAGCCTTTGGGACCATAGGCGCCAGTAAGCGCCATTGGATAGTTTTCTCAGTGCTTCTTGGCAGGACAGGAGCCCACTCCAGCCCCCTCAAGCATGTTCTCCCTCAGCTCTGGAGCCCTGCTACCCTATCTTCACCCTTGTGCAGAATGTGATCTGCCATCTCTCTGTCGCACAGTCTTGCCTGTTTTGTCATCTGGCTAGGAAGAAGTGCCCAGCTAGATTTGTGGAACAATTCTGTCTCGTGGGGAGAAGAAGCTTTAGGTGACGTGTGAGTGGCTACTGGGCAAGCAGTGAGCATGGTGAACATAGGTAGCTGATGTTTTAGGTGATGGTTTTAGATTTCCTTTGGGCAGCCTGGGATGTATCTGTGTTGCATGCACCCAGAGCATCCTTGAAATAAGGGAGTCCTTCTTCCTAGTAAGTTGGTTTGAGACCCAGACTTTACGTGTTGTTCCTGTTCATGCTTTTATGGCCACTCTGACCCACACTGTGGGGGTGTCCAAGGTTCTATTCCTGGTGGTTTTCCAAGAACTTCTTTCATCAATAGCCTTCAGCAACATCTTCACCTGGTGGCAGCTGATAGAATTGCAGGCATAGTGGCTAATTGGCCTCCTAGTGTCTTCTGGGAAGCACAGACCCTCAGCATCTTGGCAGTTTTTCTTTCCATCTTTGTTTTTGAGTCCAGAATTGTCCTAGTGCTGTTCTTTAGCACTTTCATCTTCAAAAGAGTCACAAGTCAGAACTAAATCCTGTCATTTTTTTTATTCTTATGTCCTATATACCTATATACATAAATATTTATTATTATTGGTCATGAGTATTGGAGAGGGGAAAGGAGAGAATCTGGCACAGCAAGAATAACAGGCTAAGAATTAGGAGACTTGGGGTCTGGTCTCTGTTTTCATTAGCCTCCCTTTCTTGATCCTCAGTTTCCCTGTTTATGAAGAAGTTAGGATAAATGACCTCAGGGCCAGCGAAGTGGCTCGGTAGGTAAAACACTTACTGTCATACCTGATGGCCTGGGTTTGATCCAAGAACCTACAGTGGAGAGAACATTCTTTTGGAAGGTGTCCTCTTTCCTCCAAATCTGTCCCGTAGCACACTGTGCCTGCATTTACACACACACACACACACACACACAAATAAATAAAATTAAGGCTCTTCCAGAGGTCCTGAGTTCAATTCCCAGCAATCACATGGTGGCTCAATACCATCTGTAATGAGATCTGGTGTCCTTCTCTGGCCTGCAGGCATACATGCAGCAGAACACTGTATACATAATAAATAAATAAATCTTAAAAAAAATTAAGGGTTGGAGAGATGGCTCAGTGGTTTAGAGCACTGGCTGCTCTCCCAGAGGACCTGGGGCTCAATTCCCAGCACCCACATGGCAGTTCACAGCTGTCTATAACTTCAGTTCCAGGGGATCCAACACCCTCATGCAGGCACCAATGGCAAAACACCAATGCACATAAAAGAAAACTAAATAAGAAGTAAGATTAAAAAAATAAAGACAAGTACATCCTTCAATTTTGGCAACACTAATTTATGCCTAGAGGTTTGGTGTAAGAAGCTAGATATTGAAAGTGGTGGGGGTCCAGTTTGTCACAGTCCTTCCTTCACGGTCACTCACTGGTCCATGCCATGCAGGCTACTTAGGTATGTGAACTTAGGATGCTTGGTAACTTGGACTCTGTCTTGGCCATGTTGGACGAGTCATTTGACTTGCAGCGAGACTTGAAACCTGCGTTGTGT